TATATATATATATATCAAACTTTGCAAACATAAGGTAAAGATTTGTCTTCAAACCTCGAAACAAGACAGGGGTAAACCAACAGATTATTTACGAATGGAACATAAGCAGTGAAGTTATCATCTGAATCTTTAAGTTCTGCACTGTTTTTTCCTTCGTCCGGTTTTTGTCTCTATTGGGTTTTTCCGGCATGGTTTTTAATGAGGCAGAGGCAAGGATGAAAAAGATAAAATCTTCCACTTCCCGGTAACATCATAGTGAGTAACCAAAAAGTGGGGGGACTATCTGTATTAGTAAAAATTAGACTCACCATGTGGGTCTATTAAATGGCGACATGTGTCACAAAGTTTGAAGAAAAGTGAAGAATGATATGTAAAGATGATATGTGAAACACCCCCGGGACCGACCATACTCGTATCGTGCCTGTTAGCCTCAGAACTGATCATCATGAAATAGCCCAGAACAAGCACGGGATTGACTCAACAGGCACGGGATTGACTCAACAGGCACGAGATTGACTCAACAGGCACGAAATTGACTCATTAATTACGAAATTAACTCATCAGTTACGGAATTCCAGCATTTACACAGCTGTTACAAGTCTTCCAAAAGTAATGGATGGACTGAGTAAATGCTCATAATGGACCCATAATTCAAGGAGACTAGTTATTTAGATTTAGCCCTATAAATAGACATACTTTTACCACTATCAGGGGAATCTAATTTTCTTCTCTACAATTCTATACATTGTAATTTATAGTATATTGCTCTCTATCACGTTGTATTAACGAAATTTTATATCTTTCGGATTGAATCGGTTGCTTGTGGCTCGTCATATAAAATTATTGCTTTGACCTTGAAAACTATTTTTTGGGTTAAACAGATATACTTTCTGTGTTCTGAACAGTTGAAATTTCATCTATTTACTGGCAACAAAGGATTCCTTCTTTTGTCTTGTGATAAAGCATCAAGAATAATATATCGTGGGACACATAACAGACTACTCAGTCCACGCCGTAGAATAATTGGAGTGGAAGCAAAAAGCAAATAAGCTCTGCACTCTTAGAGGAGTCTGCCCTCATCTCCAACGAAAAAGAAGCAATGTGGAGGCACTATCACCTGCTAGTTCTGAGGTTATGTCTTTGATTAGCAAATGCTTAACAACTTCTGCTGAACCATCATTTTTACTGTCCATACCGCTTCTGAATCTGTTGAGAGCGTGCAGAACTGTCAAAAACCTTCAGCAAGTCCACACCCACATAATCCAAAAAGGCTACGAGCAAGACCATTTTATCATCAACCAGTTTATATCGCTCTGTAACACCTTTTCCTCCGATGTCTCTTATGCGACAAGTGTATTTGAGCGTGTCATTCAGCCCAATGTTTATGTCTGGAATACATTGATTAAAGGGTATAGCAAACATTCATCCTTTGCTGATTGCTTCCTTATCTTGAAACAAATGAAAAGAAGTATGAATGTGATACCTGATAAGTATACTTTTCCTTCGCTGGTCAAATCTTGTTCTAGTGCCTTGGCTTTGAGGGATGGTCAGGCCGTTCATGGGTTGATAGTTAGATACGGAACTGATAGCGATGTATTTGTAGGATCCAGCTTGATTGATCTTTATGGGAAGTGCAATCAGATTGAGTATGCACGTAGAATCTTTGATGAAATGCCTCTAAGGAATGAGGTTACATGGACTGCTATGGTTGTTGGCTATATATATTTTGGTGATTTATCGCAAGCAAGTAAATTATTTGATGAAATGCCCCATAAAAATATAGCCTCGTGGAATGCAATGATTAGTGCATTCGTGAAGTTTGGTGATTTGCTTAGTGCCAGGAAATTGTTTGATAGTATGACTGGCAAAGATGTGGTATCTTTTACTACTATGATTGATGGTTATGCTAAGGCTGGTGACATGGCATCAGCGAGGTTCTTGTTCGATCAGCCTTTTGACAGAGACATAATATCCTGGTCTGCTTTGATATCTGGGTACGCTCAGAACGGGCAGCCCAATGAAGCTCTCAAAATTTTCCATGAAATGTTGTCAATGAATGTTAGGCCAGATGAGTTTATAATGGTAAGTTTGATGTGTGCGTGTTCCCAATTAGGTCGCCTGGACTTGGCAAATTGGGTAGAACATTATATGAGCCAGAATTCATTTGATCTTAATCAAGTGCATATAGCTGCAGCCCTTGTGGATATGAATGCTAAATGTGGGAATATGGAAAGGGCGACAATGCTGTTTGAGGGGATGCCTAAGCGTGATCTAGTATCATACTGTTCAATGATACAAGGCCTGTCTATTCATGGTTGCGGTTCTCAGGCTGTAGTTTTCTTTGATAGGATGCTGAACGAGGGGCTTGTGCCTGATGATGTTTCCCTTAAGGTAATTCTGACTGCTTGTAGTCGTGCAGAACTTGTTAAGGAGGGTTGCCGCATCTTTAATCTAATGATAAACAAATATCCTGCTAAGCCTTCTCCGGATCATTATGCATGTGTAGTAGACCTTCTTGGAAGATCAGGAAAACTTAAAGATGCGTATGAACTTATAAGGTCAATGCCCACTGAACCTCATGCTGGTGCCTGGGGCGCACTTCTAGGGGCTTGTAAGCTACACTGTGACATTGAGGTAGGGGAGGAGGTATCCCATAGACTTTTTGAACTTGAGCCTCAAAATACTGGTAATTACGTGCTTTTGTCAGACATCTATGCTGCGGCAAATCGGTGGTTAGATGTTGCGTTGTTGCGTCAGAAAATGAGTGAGAAGGGTCTTAAGAAGATACCTGGTTGCAGTTGGGTATGAAACAATCCTTAAAACTTTGTCCTATTATTGTTCATGTCTTCATGTCCTGTTTAAGTGTTTTCCCTTCATTGGAAAATTAGTGTATCTGCTTTTATCTCTTACTACACATTTTGAGTCATTTAACTATTTTCATTAGTTGACTTCTTCAAGAGGACTAAAATTTGGAACTGTTTTACTTATTGCTGGTAGGAATATAGTTTGAACTAGGAACAGAGTGATGCTTTTTTTTACTTATTGAATTACTTTCTTTGATCAGCCTGACGTTTTTCCCAATGTGGTTCCCTTTTAACTAGTGCCTTCTATTATAATTTTTCAGCCTTCTTTGTCAACTAATAATAATGAGAGAAACTATGCCAGTTTAGGATAGTTACCTTTATTTTTCAGGTGGAATAGTCTATGATCTCCCAAATATTTTTCTTCTCAGCTTCTACCTATTAAGCGCGAAATTTGTAATGTTATTGTTTTGTAATTTGATAGCCAAGTTGAACCTCTTTCTGATTTTTTTCTTATTTTACTTTGTGGGAATTAGGTATAATGTGATGGCAATTTGTGGACAGTGGACACTCGTTGAACAAGGAACTACAGAAGGAAATCAAAGTGGAAAATCCCTTGTTGCATAAGTGCTGAGTTGAACTAAACCAGTTTCCCATGAGTCAGGCTGCATACATGACTGAAAATTCAGATTTTTCGCACATGGAATTGGATAGTTTACTATTACAGAGAGGCTTGGTCACTTTTATTAGTGGGACAGATAAGCATGTATATGCAGATTGATTTTAAATCGAGTAGATTGAGAAGAAAATTTTCGTGCTACTTGAATTTTGTCTACTGTGCTGAGCATCAGACCATCCACTTCACTATTGGTTTCAGACAGGGTTTAAAGAGGGAAATCCCCATTGAAAGCCAACATGCTGAAGAATTGTTGGTCCTGTTATTCAATTTCGTGCAATCAATGATTCAATGTCCAGTTACTGAAACACTAGTGGAACAGTTTTTGGTTTGGCTTATATCAGGTATAAAATGTTTTATCCTTGTCTAAAAAGTGGTTAATATCTCTTTTCTCCTTATGACTTTTCTTTTTTTTTTTCCATTTTTTTTGTCTTTGTGCTTTTTTGTATTTTTTGAGTGGTTATATTACATTTCTTTTTCTCTTTCACATACTTCGTATAGCCTAGCAATATTTAGCAAGTGTCTTTTCCTTCAGGTAGATTGGGGAGAAGCAAGCATGATCCAGGCAGAGCGCATTTTAATTCAGCATGCATTGATGGATCCTCTCAATGAACGATTTGTTTTTCTTTCAGACAGGTGAGATATAATTCACTAATATCTTCCTTTATCAAATTTGTAGCACAAGCTGACTTATTTGGTACTATGGTTAGCTTAATTGATTCTTAATTTATCAGAAACTGTAGTGGTAAGCTACTTTTGCATATTTGTACCCCTTAACACTATTAGTTTCCTGAGCTAATTTTGGTAAATTGTCTGAAATAGTCAAACTCTGTTTGAATAAACTATTCAGATGATGATTTTTACTTAGGATCACTATAATCATTGGCCACATCTGTTGTAAAAGAGCACTTGGCACATTGGTCTGAGAGAACAATGCGATTATGTTGTTTCCAACATTGATATCTCTGAAATAATATCCATTATATTAACAGTTTTGTTGTGACTGCCATCTAATTTGTTTCAGCTTTTTCTTGTTATTTCAGTTGCATACCTTTGTACAACTTCAGCTATACATACGACTACATAATGTCTACGCCAAATAGCTTTGTTGACAGGTAAGAGACAGTGGTATTTCTGCTCTTTCTTGAGTAAATGATTTATTCCTGTAGTCAGAAATCAAGTAATAAGTAAGCTCCTGTAGTCAGAAATCAAGTAATAAGTAAGCTTTAGTTCTTTCCTGGAAGCGCACTAGTCATTCTCAAAGAACTATTACTTCTGAACCCAGTTTGTTAGCCAAATATCTAGCTAGCATCTTACTTTCACAAATTAAAATGCGGAACAGTCTTCATGCTTCATTTATCTAATCGTCTTTTGTTTAAAAATGAAAACAGCTTTGCTGATACAAAAGAAGGCCGCTACAACCCCAAAATGGATCCACTTATTCCTGTTCAAAGCTGGAGGAAAGGTTCTCAGGTATTGGTCTGAAATATGAATTCTAGCTTCATGAAGTTCAATGTAAACTCCTTATAAGGAAATTCTCAAAGGAGAAATTGAGCAAAAAGGCAAGATGTATCTTTGATTATTACTAGTTGTATAGCTTACTACTTAACAATTTCACTTTGTTTTCGCAGTGGGCTGTTTTAAACAGAAAGCATGCAGATATTGCTGTGAAGGATGAAAGATTATTTCCTATGTTTCAGTTGCATTGCAAGGCAAGTTAACTTTTTTTTGACCTACCTTTACTGTTATTCGAAAAATTAGGATATGGATTTTGATTTACGATGCTTATGGATGGTCCGGAGTTCATGAGCATTGCAAGACAAGTTATCTTAGCCTTTTTATTTTCAATTTAGGAAAAAATGGATGGTCCTTAGTTCTTTTAGATGGACGAAGACTAGGCAATAGAAAAATCATTGTTAAAGTTGAATCCATTAGTATTAGTTTCTCATGTGCCTCTAATTTGCTGGTTGTACAAGTATTATGGCTACCCAACTAATGTATACAGAAGTTAACTACTCTGATGATATCTAAAATTCTGCATTTGTATGTTCCCATTGAGCATACCTTCATATTATCATGGTTCTCACTCCTCACCTTAATTACTTTATCACTGTGCAGAAAAAGCCGCTACCTGAGTTTTGGCGGGATCAGTATGTTGTGAGTCTCCGTGCTGTTTGAGTATTTTTTTGTCTTCTATTGTTAGTCGATCTTTTGACTTTTAACTTCTGCTAAAAGGTCTTGACATGCCATACCAATCTATACGCTACTTCTATATACTGTTGAACTGTTTTCTAATGGCTTATTTTATCCTCCAAGGAGCGTGAACGGAAAGGATGGCATCCTGTTACCTATAAATTAGCCGATGCTACTCCCTTGCTAATCCAATCTATCAAGGTACTTTGGATCTTTTCAACAAGCACATTAATTAGTAGGTTAGCCAGGTCTACTAGCAGAAAACTCGGTGATCACTTGGGGAAAAAATGTTTCAGAAAGTTATATCACGTATTGCCAAATAGGAGAAGATAATGAAAGAGTATTCCACTCAAAGTAGCTAGTACTAGGAAGTAAGGCATTTCAGGGGTTCACAATACTAGAAAATTGACCTTCTCTTGCTCAGCAATTAAAATGAGGATGATTTTCTAACTATATGACGCTGAATTATCCTGTGTAAAACGACAAATGTGCCAAGTGCTTGGCCGAGTAACTTGTTCTTTTTTTTTTTGCTTGTTGTGCAGCTATTTAGAAATTAGAGGATGAAGCTTTGCACTGCAAGAAGCAAAAAAGAAAGGCCTTTTGTTCAAGAATGGATCAACTCATTAACAGCTCCACTGAAAAATCGTGGTTTCTAGATTGACAACTACAATTTGATTGGATTTAAATTTCACTTGTGTCCCATATATCAAAGAGCTAATAACCAGAGTTCAGAGGTAGTTTTTGTGATTCTCTGACTTACTATCTGAAAGGGCTATTTTTCACTTGATTGTGCACGGCTAGGATCAATAGGTCCTTGACGACTAGCTAATCTACATCATTGCTATGGCTCTTTCTTCAGTCCCTAACTGTAAGTTCTCTGTGGCTGTGCTGTGTATTCTGCAAGAAAAGGTTGTATTGTTTTAAATGATTCTATACTTAGTGGAGATGAAGGATAATGAATATGATTAGATGGAACTACCATATTAAAAAGAAGGCAAAATACATTAACAACCCCTTAAAGTTGTCCACACTTTTTACTTATACGGTCCATCTTAAGTTTGTTCCATTTGAGCACTTTAACCAGGCCTTTACTGTGTCATTTAGACACAAAAAACTAACATGACCAGGTAAGTGTTTCTCACAATTTTTAAGCGTGTGAAATAGTCCGAAAAAATAAACTCATACTTCTTGCCGGAGTAATATTTCTTTTAATTTTTTAGATCTTTCACTCCATTACTATTATCTCCATCTTTAAATCTGGGCACCTAGAAATTTCTTACTTTTCTTTCTGACTCGCCAATTTCAACTACAAAATATATCACTCGCCAATTTCTAGACAATAATCATGAGTCTTTTAACCAGGTTCTTTCATCTCAAGCTCTAACAATGGAGTCTGGAAATTTTCTTGACAATTTATTCAAATTAGTATATAAATTTCAGTTCCCAACTCTCAAAAACAAGTATCGTTCGTTCTCAATCAACAACTATTCGATAATAACCTGCGTTATTTGTTTCAAGTTCGAAGGACCATCAATGGAGGTCTCAAAGTTGGAATAACTCCAAACTTTTTCCAAATGGTCTCCTACTCAAACAAATAACCCCAACTCAGATTTCAATCCGGATCCGAATTGTGAAACTATATTTAACAGTTATAATTCCCCAACTCAAAAGCATATAGAGAAAACGAAAAGAAAAAACCAAAAGGAGAAAGTTCCACAAATCAAATCATATAGAGCAACTTAATTAAAAAAATCCAAAAGAAGTACATCAGTTACAGGCTTCACGAGCAATGTCAAGAAATGGGTTTGGAACATCGAAGAGGATACGATGATTTTTCCGGTCAAAGAAGATGAACAGGGTCAGTTTTTTTTTCTTCTTTTAGTTCTTTTTTTTGAAGTTTTTTTTTGGTTAAGTTAAATCCACGTGTCTTCCTTTTATTCGTTATTCTGGTGTGACTTACACGCACCTTTAGTGTTTAGTTGCCTATTAATCTTGTGTCTAAATGTCACAGTAAAGGCCTTGTTAAAACGTTCAAATGGAACAGACTGGGATGTTTAAGTGAAAAGTGTGAGGGGCTTCTAAATCAGTTTCTTTTCTTCAAGCTCAGTCACGCCGATGTAGTGCAGTCTTTCCACCCCTAATAATTAGAAAAAATATAACATGCATAGTCAAAATGACTTGAAGAAATTCTGTAAAAGAGTGCATTAAGAAATTAAGAGAGCTCCATTTGTCTTTAAACTTGTGTTAATGGGATCAGCTCTTCAGTATACACCTCTTTATTTTTGAACAACTCCCTCAACATAAAGAGAACACTAGTTATTTATGATATCAAGTAATTCAAAATTGGAGAGGAGCTACTATGATCATCTATAATTGATTATGGAGTTATTGTGCTTTCTTTCTGATATTTGTTTTGTTGGGGGCTCCACATTGTGTTCTGTTAACTCTTAATTTTATCTATTTAAGTACTTTTCAATATTATTTTTCAGCCCACCTATTTATTCTGAATATGATGACAAGCTTAACTATATTGCTTTTCTTGCAAGTTATCAATTTTAATTGTGTCCTTTTCTTGCGAGAAACTGTGTTAGATGGATATTTTTCATCAAGATCATGTATTTTGTTCTCAAGTATAATTTCTTGCTCTTTTGTTTCTGATTCCAGAATCAGATTGAACCAACCACCTGTTTCCAATATAACCTAAGGGAACCAATAACTGCAGAAAATTTCAGTGGTGTAGAACCACACAACTTGATGTGTGAGCACCTATTCTTCATTTTGGTCCATTGCACAAAAGGTCATTCAGATGCTATAGTGAGGTAGGGAAAGATAAATTCCCAATTAATGTTGTCATTTGTTTCTAGTGACTTTGCCATCTTATGTGTACTTATTGCAATC